ATTTTACGGAGACTTGCCACGGTCTCCAACCCTCCTCCTTTCTCATCCGGGCTTGGGACTGGCCATGGCGCAAAAACTTTAACATGATAAAAAGCTGACTTTCTTGCAGCCGTATCAGTTTCATTTAATAGATCAACTATGGTCATTTTATTGAAAGCTATGCCTGTCTTAACTTTTATTTATTTATCTTATCGTAGTTTCATTACACTGAGAAACTCTCGTGACTTGTTTAAGCAGCGAACTTATGGCATTCGATTGCAGAAGTTCAACGTGGCCGGTGAACTCGCTGATAAACGCGAAAATCCATTGTGTCACGTATCTCGCTGGTGACACAGCCAACAAAATCAACTCAACAATCGCGTTGCATCAGTGTCGCAACTAAGGTAAAAGTATTTCAAACAAAACTTCATGCAAGAATGGGCACAATCTAACCACTGATCCGTAAGCAAGCAGACAATGTGTCGTATGATTACCGTGTGATAAAATGGCATACAGATGTTGCTGCTTTGGCACCAAGTAAACAGAATGTTTTTCGGGGTGACATCCGCAAAGTGCTTCCTAAAAATCACCGCTTAAGTTCAATCTTTTACATCGCAACTCGACACCTAATAAACGGCAGCATAAACGAAAGCCTGTGGTTGCCAAACTGTGTTTGAAGACGATCAGCTGCGAAAACTCTATTCTGCGCAGCCTGGCGTTTACATTCATCATGACGAAAAACCTCTCCAAGTTGCCATAAATCGCTAAAATACAATTTTGACTTCATCGCATACATGAAACGGGAGTAATTCCATTCTGGACAGTTTCGTCCTGAACATCATTCACTTTAGGCATACCAGAACTCTTTCAGCGTAGAACAGCGCAATGAACGACATCCTATTTCACTTGACTGGTAAGATTCCATCATCTGTTGTGTTGTATACTTCACAGTTTGAATACATTCGTCGTATCTTGAAGCCTAAACGACAATGCTGCAAGAACGCATTCACCGCCACATCTTTTTTGTGAATCTTTGAAACACAGTTCCAAGCCATTAAAGGAAAATAAATTTTCATGCGATAAGCCATAGTCAAAAGCATGCTCCATCCACTGGGGGCATGCTACTCAGGGCACAACTCTAAATTCCATTATGTTGCACAGCCACCATCCTAATTTTAGACATTCAACGGGTCTAGCGAAAGAATAAATGAAAAGGACCAATTTCTGAAACAGCAATGGTCGACAGCAAGATATTACTGCAAAAAACGGAAAACAGAAAC